GTTCTGCCGACATCGAGCAGAAACTCACGACTGTATGCGCGCTTAGAGACAGATAGACGCGACGAATACGTACAAAAACACTGCGACTCACAAGACAAAAAACACGAAAACACATTTCTTGTTATGTACTTATGTAACCTTTACCTAATTTATTTCTGGATTTTTTTTGGTTGATATTCTATCTCTAACTGTTAAAATAAACCTACCATAAAAATGACAGACCCTTCATTTCTTTGTAAGTGGGCAAGCTTACAAAATCAGCAGGGGATCAAATAAATATAATTCCCCACTGTAGATAGTATCACCTGAACAAGAATATTAGACACTCCAGAGTAAAGCAAAACCTTACAACGGTTATGAAACGGCCTCTCATGCAAACAACTCTCAATTAGAGACCTCAACCACATTACCAAGTACAACTCTGAAAAGTTCACGATAGTGGCAGCCAGGAAGCTGGCCCGGCTTTCAATCACTGCACTCGAGTGCCTATTTTCCTGCTTCCATATAGATCGGTAAACAAATCATTCTAAAATTATGCCGGGATGGCTCATTTTTTTATTGACTCCTGTGTGCAGCTATTTGAATCATTACCTAATTGTCTAGCTGCTCTATCGACAGCGTGGCGGCCCTGCCGTAGTGATTTGTGCTGACACTGCCAGGGGCCCATTGGATCTGGGTTAACCTTTTGATGTCCATCGACGCTCTGTGCACTGATGATGATTGATCGAGGTGGCCCTTGCCGTTAGATAATACCTAATCAGCGTTCGGAGTAATTTGTGTAAATGAGACCTCATTATTGATGATGGCAACTTCAGAAGCCTCCATGCACACTAATGCCAGGCCACCAATGGATCTGTGAGAAAACTTTGTTCCAGAACGTCAAAAGAGTGTAGAGGCGAAACGTTCAAGTCGTCCATGTTCAGACTGCAATGAACCAGGCTGATTTCTCTCTGCTTGAAAGTTACAAAAGGTACAAATTCTCTCAAACCATATGATGCATTAAAAATCACGCATACAGAAATCTAACTACCCTTCTAGAGCTCTTTATGGGGACATGCTTTTTTACAACAACCACACAAAGAAAGACTCAACTCTACATTATTCATTTCATAAAATCACTTAATCACCACACGAATTTTGCTGGCCATCATCTCCATATTTCTCTTAATATGCCTTAAAATTCACTCCATTATGTGACTCCCTTATCTTTTTGAAGTTATCGGCTGGTGAACTGTGGAATAAATGACTTTCTCTTTCCTAAGACTACTTTAAGAAATCATTTTGTCAGCAGCCAGATTGAAATGAGTGTGGTGAAGTATTAAAATGATAATAGGTGGTGCAAGTTCTTTTGCGGTATAGTCATTCGCTAAAACCTGGATTATAAAAAGCTACTATTTAATATATCCTTTCCCGAAAGCAATTCAATCTCCAGGTAACAATGATGAGAGAGAGCCTTTAAAATAAAGGGTGGGAGAAAGAGATAATGAATTATTCTTATTATTTCTTAAAGGGACAGTTCAACCAATTATGTAAACTTCTGTCATCATTTACTGTGTGCACCCTCAGCCCTCACCCTCATGTTGTTCCAAAACTGTACAACTTTTGTTCTATGCGTAACACACAAGATATTATGAAGAATGCTGGTAACCAAAAAGTTTCAGTGACCCTTGACTTTCATTGTATGGAAAAAAAACACTGAGCAAATGAAGACTGAATTTTCATTTTTTGGGTGAACTACCCTTTTAAGAGCGATACATGCACTTACTGAAGGCAAGAATGCACTGATGACAATAACAGAGGAGAACAAACTTGCCTCAGTGAGATGACAAAGGTGGATGTCTGCCATATATGATATGATCTCTGTGTGCTGGGCAGCATCTGAGGTTCGACTGTAATCTCATAAAGGATGTTCACATGTGTTCGTATGCTGGAGGGCTCTTGTATCTGCTCCAGTCTGGCTCCTGAAGATGGAGCTCTTCTCCAACAATGTGGGTGTAGGGCTCGGCCACCACCCCGATGCTCTCAGGACCTGATGATGATTGATCATGTTGTTTTCTTCATTACTTTAAACCCAATCAGTGCTTGCTGTAATTTGAGTAATGATAGCTCATTATTGCCAATTGCACATTTAAGGGCTTAATTTACCCTTCTCTGGTGCACCTTTGGGACATCTGCATACGGCGGACACCTTCGGGATAAGGGATCGATAATTCTCCATCTTCCTCTTTTTAACTAGAATGCCTCCCGTTTAAAAATCCTTTTTGATATCTGCAGCTGGGACTGTGTAAAGACAAAAAGAAAAAAAAAATAACTGCATATTTTCATTTTGAGTTCTGTACAAATTTTAAGAAGTTACGTATAGTTTGCGGAAAGGCTGAAATGTCCATTTGAGGGTTTGTGGTTCAGGAAAAAACACCAACTCTCAATCACAATAAATATACATTAGTCTACCTTTAAAACGTTTGGGGTAAGATTTTTTTTTTAAGAGAAATTAATACTTTTATTTAGCAAGGGTGACTGTTGATCAAAATAGATGTCCTTCAGAAATTTCTATTTATCAAAAAATCCTGAAAATATGTTTCTGCAAAAAATATTAAGCAGCACAACTGTTTCAACATTGATAATAATGAGAAACATTAACATTTATTTATTTGAACACATAAATAATAAATACATAACATTTTATAGCATTTTGTATATCTGAAATGGTCAAAGGCAATTTCAGTTCAGATATTTTAATGAGCAATGTGTTATACACAACCTGTTAAACAATTACACTGATCAAACATGCAGATGTTCTGTGTTGTTAATTAATGATGAAAAGTAATTGGATTATGGAGTCCATAACACTGTTTATTATCAGTCTTTTTGCAAACTCCATAATGTAGGTCAAATATCACAGCACATGACCTCCACCTTACATTAAATGGCAGACAAACTTTGGGGACAGCACATACTGTAAATCCACAAACATTAACATTTACATCAGTTTCCTAATTGTTCACACATTCATGTATTTCAAACGAAAAAGTATTCATACAGGTAAATGATCTACATTTCTGTTCCATCAATTCAAAGACTAACACAGTAAACTCATTTAGCAAAAGCTTGGATCGCCTCTCCTGCAAGCTGAGGCTCAGATGCAGTAGAAAAGAGAGTGTCAGCGAGGTGGGAAAAGAGAGGTCACGCGTTACACACCAGGATCAGAATGAACAGGAGATTTGGTAACAGAGGAACCCTTCATCCTCCAGGAATCTTTGTGAGATTGGTGTGATTCATCATGCTAGCGCATTATTGCTGCCCTGATTTCGCTTTGAGTTCCTAGGGTTTTGGCACACAAGCACACTTTCAGGCATAATAATCACAAAGAATAAGAGAAAAAAGGTGAAAACTCAATAGGGAAGTATAATTATCTCCCTATCTATTTACATATAACTGCTGTTTAAGCTATGTAAAGAATTTCATATTGAATATGCCTGTGGTGGAATAATAGTCTGTGGCAAAACAAACCATCCTGCAAAAAATTATCATAGTTCTTTAAAGAAATAGTTCACGCAAACATGAAAAATCATTTACTCCTGTCATTCCAAACCAATATACGAAACAAAACATGAACATGAATTAATGCGCTGGTCACTTTATTCACTATAATGAAAATTAATAAGGACTGGGGCTGTTACAGTATGCTACAAAATTACAAATAAATAAATAAAATTATAAAAGTGGTCCATACAACTTGTGTGCTACTTGATTTACGATCGGATTGATTTGGTTTTTCATCCAGAAATGAAAATTAAAATATTTCACTTCAGAAGACATTGATTCATCAACTGGGATCGTATGGAGTACCTTCGGGTTTGTTTTGCATGGTTTGTGAAAAGTCAACTTTAAGGTACCTATCCACTTGCATTATATGGACTCACGGATGGGTTCTTTTTAATAAATAAATAAATAAAACAAATTCTCTGTTTGTGTTCCACAGAAGAAAGAACAACTGGTCATACAACTGGGATAGCATGAGGATAATTAAATGATGAGAAAAAAATTTGGTCTGTGTCTTACAAAATGCTATCACATGGCTTCAGAAGACTTGGAATATAGAGCAAAAGTTGTATGACCCATTTTAATGATTGAAGCTGGGTTTGGAATCGCATAAAGGTTAGTAAATAACATCAGACTTTTCATTTTTGGGCAAACTCCTTTAATGGTTAGTACTGTTGATGCTGCACCACGATATAAACACCACTCACCAAATTCTTTATGTCAAAAAAGAAGGGGCTTCAAAGTGCTTAAAATGGGTACAGGTGTCTTAAACAAACAATGGTCTCTTTGAAAGTACTCAAAACAACTATGATCCTGTGGTGCGCTGATGTCCTAAATTGCAACAGAAGAATGGAGCTTTCTATCCGTGCTCGGGTACCTATGATATCGTTCTCTGCACACAGTCATTGCTGCCCTTTTCATCTTCCTGCCTTCAGAGAATTCCTCTAGAAAATGTTGCCTCCTTTCTTCTGCTGAAAATTTCAGTTCATCAAAAGAGAGGTGAATCTAAGTCCTTATCTTGTGGCCACGGCCATGTACAGTATCATTAAAGGGTAAAATGCAGAGGGCCTACAGATAGGGCATGTCCAAGGACATGCACAAACACACTCAAATACACACTCACACATACACAGAGGGGCATTTGATGTTATCCATTGTCAATGTTTGAAGCCAGATCCTTGTTATCAGAGTGCTGTTCTGGGCTCCATTTCTTGGCTTTTTGAGAGCAGGTCAGGGGCTTTCATGTGAGAGGCACACTCACAGCATCTCTGCAGACGCCAGCCGAGAAGGACCACAGCTTCAGTGCAGCTTATCTTCCCCAAACGCCCATGTTCATAGATAATATAAATATATAACCATGTGGCGACCATAGCAGGTGCATAAGAACAACAATGGATTTGTACTTGACAAGACGTTTTGACACATTCTGAAGATTAAAATAGGCAGATTAAATGTGTCAGTTTAATAAAATGGATTGAACTATGCAGACAGCTATATAAATATTTTCTATTGAATAAAATTATGTCAGATAGTATCACATTGTATAAGCTGTATAAGCCACATTGCATTTATTTGAGATTATAAAATTATATAATAAGATTATAAAATAGCAATTATAACAATTATAAAAACAAAACTGTTTTTTCTTTTAAAATGTATTTTATTTCTGTAACGGTAAAGCTTAATTTTCAATTCCAATATGCTGATTAGATTTCTTATTATTATCAATGTTAAAAACATTGTTGTCATTCCACTTAATATCTTAAAAACATAATATCTTGCTTAAAAGCTGAAACAAGAAATTATTAAACTGAAAAATGTACTTTAAGCTTTTTTCTCTTTAATACTTTGGTAACACTTTATAATAACTTTCATTTCTCAATCATTAACAAACATTATATAATGCTTAACAGTTCATTAGTTAATATATATATTCACATAGCTAGAATTATGAGATAATGTTCTTGTTAATGTTTACTAATGAACTTACTAAACATTTTAGTAAGTTGATTAACTTACTAAAATGAATAATTGACATATGATTATTTAATGTAAATTGAAATGCTTACAAATGTCAGTAAACTTTTAGTTCATACGATCTCAAATTTGTTGGTCTTTGTTTGTTGTGTAGACCTCTATTTACACATCTTAACGAATAATCTATTAATTATTTGTTCATGTTTTTGCAGTACCCAATCTAAAGTGGAATCTATTCATCGTTTGCAAATGTTTATATATGCTTACTAATCATTAATACCTTCATGAGCAGTCATCTCGATAGCAAAAAGTGTCCCGAAAGACCTGAATTTACCCTATGCACACATCTTTACTAATCATTTATTAATCATTTGTTCATGTTTTTGCTGTAGCCAATCTAAAGTTGAAACTATTCATCATTTGTAAATGTTTATAAATGATTACTAATCATTTAGTATCTTTATGGGCATTGGACTAATGTAACAAGTTTTGTGTAAAGGGTGGCTGGTTAAAGGGTTAGTTCACCCCAAAATTTAAATTCTGTCATTAATTACTCACCCTCAGCTCGTTCCAAACCCGTAAGACCTTCGTTCATTTTCAGAACACAAATTAAGATATTTTTGATGAATTTGGAGAGCTCTCTGACCCTCCTATAGACAACAAGGCAACTGCAATATTCCCAGGTGCAGAAACATAGTAAGGACATCGGTAAAACAGTCCATGTGACATCAGTGGCTTAACTTCAATTTTGCGAAGCTTCGAGAATACTTTTTGTGCGCAAAGAAAAAAAATAATGACTTTATCCAACAATTCTTCTCCCCCGAGTTACAGTCTTCCGTCGGTATTTTAAAGATTCCATTTTAAAGAGTATCACATCGCATACACACGCTTTCCCCTAAGCGTAAACAACGCTGATTACGCAGATTACGTTAATGCGCACGTTTTCCCCCGAACGTAAATAACGCTGATTACATCGAATACGTTCTTGGATATTCTCCAAAATGGCAGAAGACGTAACTCAGTGGAGAAGAATTGTTGAATAAATTATGTTATTTTTGTTTCTTTGCGCACAAAAAAGTATTCTCATAGCTTTGCAAAATTGAAGTTGAGCTGATGTCCTTACTACGTTTCTGGACCTGGGAACATTACAGATGCGTGGCTGTCTATGCAGGGTCTGAGAGCTCGACGAATGTCTACGGGTTTGAAACAACATGAGGGTGAGTAATTAATGACAGAATTTTCATTTTTGGGTGAACTATCCCTTTAAGTTTAGCTAAAGGGTGGCTGGTTAAGTTTAGATAATGCACTCACATTAGTATACTACTCTTCAGCATATCATTAAACAGGATAGCTATTCCTTTAATCATAAATGAACGGAAAAACAAATCTTTTTTTTTTAAAGAAAATACTTGTTAATTTATCAAAACAGAAGAAAACAAATCAATTTTTGATCACTTTTTATTTGTTTATCAAAATAATGTAATATAAACAGATTGAACCGTGTTCCCTTATAGTAATCAAATTGACCCCTGTACAATGTTGACACTTTAACCAACCCTTAAACCTTCCCATACCACCAAACCTGTCCCTAACCTTACCCGTACCACACCTCTGTAGCAGCAAAAGTGAATGAACACAAGCTTTTAATCATTTTAAAACATCTGTTAAAATAATTTGTAGATTTTCAATAAGTGCTTGATCATATGGAATTGAAAGTTTATTGACATTTCTAAACATTTTAACTTACATGAAATAATGAT